CTTTTATTCATCATATCATGCTCTCTGCAAGAACATTAAATATTTTCTGTCTTCAACTTAAAGCCGATCGAGTCATTCTTTATAAATTGACAGACGGACAGACATTTACAAAAAAGAGCATATATATATATATATAAGTATATACTCTATAGGATTAGTGATGTTGCTTTCTAAGTGTTACAAACCTTTCGACAAGGCGAAGATTAGCCCAATGGATATGAGAATAAAAGGTCGGTTTTAGTCAATTTAAAAAAAAGAATAAAAAAAAAAAAAATAATAAAAATAAAATAAAAGGAAATTAATGGAAATTCATTCTATTTTCTGAATAAGTAAACGACGGCTACATTCTGTCTATGTAAAAGCATTGATTACTTTATTCTTTCTATCTATCTATTCATTGCTTTGTATTGCTTTAAAGCAGGAAAAAAAAAAAACGATTTTCTCTCACTTGTACACACTATACTACACTTGCTACACTTGCTACACTTGTTATAATAGATAGCGAGATTTGTTTAGTTTTCATTTTTGCACGATTTTCTATTGCTTTCGTAATTACAATCATCGCTGAGAATTAAACAATTTGCTCAAACCCTTTTAATTAAATATTAAACGTAAATTGATACTCAATTTACAATTACAAATGTATTTTTATTTTATTTTTGAATTAAGCAAACTCTGCATAATTTCAATGAAATTTTTGTTAAATAGATTTACTATCACATATTCTATATCAGGTAAATAAATATATGTTTAAAAATTGGAAAAAAAAATTGTTATGTTTTTTGTTTTTGGTTAATTATGTTCATGTCATACATTGGCCAATTGGGAATAATTTTCACTAAACTTTTAGATAAAATGAATTTTCAAATCGATATTTACACACATTTGCACACAACATATTTTCACTTTTTTTTTTTTTTATTTTTTTTTTCCATTTTACTTTCTATTATTGCGACATACAAGATTTGTTCTTTCTGTTTGTAACATCTGGGACTACGTAAACGATATTATTAGATGTGACGTTAAGACGTGCACATGGCCTTTAATCTCTATGTCTATCGTTCAATTTTGGAACATTAATTGTTGAAAAATAGTAGTGATATGATCACAATAACATCTGTAATATTTGCGAAAAATCCCATCACTTGTGTTACACATCATGTACATATGATCTGAAATTCACAAAAAAATCTTTGTAAAATTCACGTAACGCTGTGTTAAAAAGATGGGCGTAACAATAGCCAAACAAACTGGAATATGGAGTCCGACATTGATTTTATAGTGTCGGCTAGTGTTAGGTAAACATTCGTCTAACCTACCAGCTGACACGCTCGCATTTTAACAAAATATTTCACAATTCTCAATACTGATTAGAGATGAATGTGATGGACATCAAAGTTTCATCCCAAAGTGATTTGTGTTTAGTCCGTTCTTTCTTTTCAATATCGTTGTTAGTTGTTTGGTTGCCATGTTGACCGTATAACACGTATTTGTTGTAATTTTCATTGAGGCTTAACGCAACAACAGCAACGGAATGAATGCGTTGTCATTTTTGTTAATTCAACTTTTGAAATCGAATTGCAGGCATCGAATCGCTGCCGGTTAGATTTAAAAAGATGTCATTAAAGTTGATAAATAAATATGCACTGATTTTTTTTTTCAGATATTAGTATAATGACAGTATTTTCAATATAAATTGCATAAATATTCAATTGTTAGATTCGCGTGAACTTCGCCTTTTAACCTATACCGCATAAGTTGGCGAATTTCCTAAGAAACTTCGGCAAAAAAAGTGATTACAAAAGTTCAGAAATTGAAGCTTCAGAAATTCAATTCTCCTTCTCTCTCCCCCCCTCTCTCCGCAAGTTTGCGAATCGCACAAGAAAACAAATCGTTGTTTCCAGTTTACATAAGCGGATAAGCTTACATCGCCACACATGTGTATATAAACTAAAATATATGATGGAATCGTGTCCGGATCTAATCGTGAAACTTTGAAAAATTTCTTTTTAAATGGAAAACTGCCTTTAAAATCCCTAAATGGCATTACAAAATATCTTGCTAATCGGTAGAGATGGCATAGTTGATAGGCGATGTGCCATTGTTCACATTGGACGAATTCGAAACACATACCCTATACCGCTTGTCGTGCAAGAGTATGAGAACGCATGCAACACTTACAAGAACTTGCGATAAACTCACATTTTATTGTATCATTTGTCTGTCCGGCTATCCGGCTGTCCGGCTGTCCGACTGTGCCCCTTTTTTACCTCTGTTCAACCTAAAGGTCGTAATTCTCGAGATATTATGATGAGATTTGATAGATACACCGGCGTGTTTCGGCTTTCATTATACCGACATAGCTTGTCTACCCGGCTGTCCGTCTTGTTTTCTTGTATTCTATCTACAGATCGCAATTTTTAAGATGTGCTTGTGTGACATTTTGATTATTGAAAATTTTAGTACCATGTCCCGTATAACGTTATATGAATAACAATATTAAGCGAGGTGATGTATTGTATTTAGTGCTGGACCGTAGACCGCTGCTTTTACTTGTTTTTTTTTTTTTTTTTTTTTTATTATAATTTTATTATAATTCATAATCCAAGGAATCTGTGAATGTGAATAAATTATTTGCAATATATACAACACAAGGAATTAAGCATCGATAAGATAAGATAAAGCTCTGCAATTGTCATCTCTTAGTGACTTCGAGAATGATTTTTATGCCATAGCATAGCATTCTTCGAATATATAATTGATTTCTTATTTATTTATTCATTTATGTAAAATTATTTCACTGCTATCCCAGTATTAAATTTGTTGTTAATGGTGATATTTTTAATTACACTTTGCTGTGATCCGAAAGCTTGATTTATTGGAATATTTAAATAACTTTTATCAGACGTATTTGCATTTGCATCAACCTCGATTTGTTCATTCCCGTTCCTGCTGCTGTTATCGGATTATAGCTTAATAATAAATTTACAATGTGGCAGAAATATGATGAGCGGATGATGTTGAAATAAAGCAGAGAAAAAAAATGAAGAAAGCGCACAAGATATATATATATATATATATATATATATATATATATATATATATAAAATACATCGCTTAATAATTCGCGGAAGTAAAGTAAGAAAAATATATTTTCGTTGCACAGCTTGACTGTATTGATCTGCATAGTCTCTTCAAAAGGTGATATACAAAGAGTCCTAGTCTTCTCTACTATTCAGGTATATTTTTTTTAAAAGATTCCCGAAATATTTTCCAGTTTCCACGATAAGCTCATCGTTTAATTCGAATCTCTTTCCTTAAAGAATCTTTACGAGACTTATCAATAAACAACCGCCGCTGTGGTTACATGGGAAGAACGCGGTGGATATTTCAACTAAGCGAACCTTAATTTTCACAATTTAAACATTGTAGTCACTGAGTTGTGAAGTGGCCCATATCACGGCAAAAATCTTCATCCAAAATAGTGGATACACTTCCTTTTGATATCTTTAGGACGACAATTTTCTTTAATAATTTCACTTTTCAACTATCAAAAATAATTTTCTGGCCTTCTCCTTAGGTCTTCTTGTTTAATCATCTTTTTGTGGCGTCCAATGCATCCAGCATGATTGATGATCGTACTAACTCGTTTAAAATCGTGCAATCACCGAATAAATTTCTATTTTCATCACAGATGAGCTATCATAACACTATTCAAGCTAATGAATTTTGTGTCGGTATCCTTTCTCGTCAGGAAGCAAACATTTAATCATTTTGCAAATAAAACAAGTGAAAACAATCACGGCTTGCTATTAACTATCCTACACCATTTCGCTTAATACGATTACTCATATAGTGACTTTTCAAAATAAGGCATTATAGTATGGGAGATGGACGAAAATGTGATCCGATTCGAACTATGCCATGCTTGTCGTTGGTCTAAAACACGTCAGTGTACCAAATTTTGTTAATATCTCGTAAAAATTGTGCGTGCATGTCTAAGTTGAAGAGAAGAAAGCAAGACGGACAGATGGACAAACAGGTTTAGATCGATTCAGAAAATAATTCTGACAATGGGAGCCTCCTGGTTATTGTGTACATACGCACAAGTTTTCCGCATACATGTACAAAGTATAAAAGATAATGTCACGTAAACACAATATTCATGAATTCGTGAACAAATCGTCGAAATTATATGAAATTTTGACAAACATCCTTTAAAGATAACCATTTTCTTATATAAATAATATGTGACGTTTGTAAATCTACGTTTGACATCTACTTGGTAGTACGGGGAATTATTGATCGATGTTTGATGTATGTATGATGTAGGCAATCAGCGTACAAATTTTATATTAAGAGAGAAATATTTACTATGACAATCTATGAAAGATTTTTTGCGCGCTAAACTCATTAAATATTTCGAAACATGAATTTATCAAAAGTTTCAAAACGACTAAGGCAGTAAGTAATTTTGCATACGCAAATTGAATGCACGTTTTTTGAGGCAGCGATAAAAGAAGAAGACTTTTATATGCTTACAGCAATAATTGCAATATTCTACATGCGGAAGCATTAAAGAAAGATTAACATCAACCATTTCCGTCTCTTTGCGGTTTTCGTGAGGTAACTTGTTTAAGTTGTTAACGCAGCTCTACGTAAATAAATCAAGTGCGAAAATAAATGTCAATAGCAGTCAATAAGTGGGTTAAGCTTAGTGGTAAATCTAGTTTCACCAACTACTGCGACCGCCATCAACAGTAACAGCAGCGTACGTATGTTTGTTTCGAATCTTTTAGCAGGAAATTCTGAAACCTAAAAAATGAAATTTTAATTTATATCTTCTTTGCATGATATTCACATTGTCCTTGCCTTTGCTTTCATATGCAAAGTATAAATACTTGCAAAATGAAAAAAAAAAGTCTTTCGCTACGAAATAAACGCTTCTGTTAATTTTTGCAAATCTTTTTTTCTCTATCCTCATTCCGTCCTCATTTCAGGATGAAAATGTTGCAGGAATATTCCTCGAACCAAACTAATACGTCTTCTTTTATGGCCTTTACGTTGTCGCGGCTCGAGTAACGCAGGCATATACGATGAGAGATAGATGAAGCGAGAACAAGAGGAAGAGTATGGAAATAAATTTTATTATTCTGCACACTGCGAAAACTTTCGTAGTCATACATAAATTTTACAGATTCTCTACATTTTCAAAAACTGGCCAAAGAGAAAGAAACTTTCAATTCGTTACCTTCTATTTAGACATATCTAGGTGGAAATAGCTTTAACTTGAAGGTTTAGATAAGCAGTTACAGGTGACATGTGCATGCGTACACATAAAATATATTTATGTTTTTTGGTTTGATTTATATGTAATAGCAGCCTGTTCCGGTATCGTGCATAAATGCACACACGCACACACTAACACTTCAAATAACACACTCTTCTTCACCCCGCATCGCCGCTAGATATTATTTCGCGAAAACTTGTTGCACTCAATGCGTTCCATTTGTTGAAAACTTGGGAAAATTTTTTAATTCTCTCGATTATTCTTGCTTTCTAACTATCGTATATCAAAAGGATTCAATATGCCCAAAATACTATTACAAATGCAAATTTGTTCATACAATAACATACTAATCTCCTTAGGCCCTATATGGAGGTTTGTATTCCCATTTCCATTCCACTCTTAACAGTAGTCACCTATGGGCCGAAATAGCTCAGTATCTTATTTTCCATCGAAATATCTGAAAAATTACGTCTTGTAGCTTGAACACAAAACGGTACATAGGGAGGCATGAGCCGAACGGATAAGCTTAAGTCGCTTTAATAAGAAGATGATCTATCTCAAGTCTCTGTAAATATTGAATACATTGGCGCAATGTTAATATTCTATATCCCAAGTGGTGCAAGCTATAAACCCATTTGACGAAGACTTACGTACTTGTCAGGCATTGCTTTATGATCACAGATATCAAAGACTCGATGTCTTACTTAACTCATTCGTTAAGATCAATTACCACACACACAATTACAAGGCATTAACCTATATTATTTTACATGTGATCTATTGCTGTCGCGTCTTAACCTAGAGAGATAATCAAGCAATCCGAACATGTGATAGTAGTTCCCGAAGAACCATTGGAATATTGATTAGTCGAATTCTCTTACTTCGATAGAAATAACTGAAGAAGGAGAGGAAAAATATTCACCTAGAGTATGGCGGAACCACAGCGGAACTTACGCTTTTGAAATTTTTCTTTGAACGACTGAGACTGCCTTCAATAACCGACCGAGTGTCGAGAATTTTTGTTTATACTGTTCGCCATTAATATGATTGAGTCGATTACAGAAACAAAACATCACCTACGAATACACGCTTTTGCTGTTGGGGTTGGCAACATTAAAATTTACACTTGACCTCCTTGCCTCAAGCAACGTCTTGCAGGGACTAAAGTATTATTGCACAGATTTTTTTTACAATCGATTCACTTGTTTTTAAATATGGCCTTTAAAATTTTTCCGCCCACTTTTGCTCTAATGTTAAAATTATGTGTCATATATCATACAGCATTCTGACCCATCAACTTTTCCTATTTTTCTGGTAAACCCATGATGTCATGATTGCAGAATTTCTGGGATTTGGGGACGAAAAACTGTACAGCAAGTGATGACCACAGGTATCTTGTGAAGTCATCTGCGTATCATTAAGAGAGTTCTGCATAAAGCGAAAGAATATATGATAGCCAGATGGCAGAAAGTCCGATAAACTTCGCAACTAAATAAATCCAATTTCTGGCGAGTCGTTAAAGATATGTGCGGCCCGTCATTGCAATGAGGTAAGACAATGCGTGCTTTAATCACATTAACGATTGACAATAGAGTGACAATGAATACAATCAGTCTACGTAATTTAAATCCGATTGATTGCTTACATGTCATCAATGTGACCTTTGTCACAGTTTTTGCAGCTTCATTCTTCTTGGAGCACAATGTGTTTTTTTTTTGTAGGCATTATTGTCCTACATGAACTACTTCTCTCTTCAAAAATGAATGAAATTCGCTTCGTTTCAGAAAATTCGCAAATCGAAATTCCGTTCATTGCATATTTCGCGGTTTTCTGTTCAGTCTTATTGCAAATGATTGAAAACTCTTTCGTAGGTAACTCTGATCGAATGCCATAGGATAAAATGCTATCCGATTTTCGCCAACTTTATTAACTATTAGGAACTAAGGATCTGAAAGCAGCAAAACTTTATCGATGAAACTTTTTTGATCGCCGATATGCGAAACATTATCGCTATGATCGAAATGATATTAGAAAATATATCACACACACAGTTACATTCGACTAAATTAACATAAGGCAAAAAATCTTTTCTTTTTTTTTTTGTTTTTTCTTTAATTATATACAGATTGTTACTTTCCACACACGGTACAGTGCAGCTTGGTAGGTCTAGTGTTGCCAAAGCTATTTGGGGGAAACGTGACAATGTTTTTTTCATGACCTATTAAAACCACTCCTATTAGCTTTCATTCAATTACAGAAGCAAGTAAATCATTCCCTTTCGTAAAAAGGATTTCTCTCGAACAAGCCTCCTTTTAAAACAAATTGAACGGTTACACATACAAATGTAAATTGATTTTAAGTTGTGATAACATAAATCTGAAAACTATTGAATATTATGTGAATGGAATTAATGAATGCTACACAATTGAGGACACTCACTCGCGAAACGCACGCGTCAAGTGGCAACAACTCATGATATTTTCATTGCAGAGCGCACTTCGTATACCATTTATTTTATAAAGAAGTGTTATATAATTTATGATTTTTATAAGTACCACGAACTCGGAGTGAAAACTAGTTACAGTAAAAAAGAAAAAAAGAAAAAAAGCAAAAAAGAAAGAAAAATTACTTTACTAAGCATTGGTTTAATACCATCAGAAATGGGATTTACAAACTTCAAGGTTTAAAAACAAAGTATTTCTCGTATGTTTTTATTTGATGCAGCAACATAATACGTAACTAATTTAAAGTTCAAAGCCAAAGTACTTTAGAAAACAACGTTACTGACTAATTGCAAAAGATACTTTAGCTTACATACAACGCGAGCTTCGATACTCATTACTATTTTACGATACTGGATTCTTAAGGGAGAGAGAGACAGAGAGAGAGAGAGAGAGAGAGAGAGAGAGAGACCGAGAGAGAAGGGAAAACTATATTCGAAATCAAAAGAGTTTAATAAGTATGTGGTAATATATGCAAACTTATGCAAAACTTCTAATAAACATATTGCTTTGATTATTTTTGCACCAGTCACCGACGGTTGAGGGGTATATTTATTTTGCCAAAACGTTTGTAATGTCTGCAAAGCAGCATCAGAGCCCCCCACAAAGTATATATATTCTTGATTAAGATCAAATTCTAAATCGATTTAAGCATGTCCGTCTGCCCGTCTGTCCATCTGTGCAATGTCTGTTGCAAAAAATTCTCCGAGCCTCAAAAATGAAGCTAGCGATTATAAGTTTGGCAGAAACATTGGAAATTCTTGCACGCAGATTGGATTAAATCGGACAAAGGAAACGCCCACAGCACCACGTAAGCTGAGAAGACCTCTGCTTTTCAAAAGGAACAAAAAATCGGTTTTTTGCTCATTACTCATAAACTATAGCAAATAAATGTAAAAAATTTTGAAATTGACCACGCCTACTCAATATTATAGTGCATAAAAATTTAATTATTTTTTCAATATCTTTATAACATGCAGAAACAAGTTTTACAAACCCCATAAAGTATAAAAATTCTTGACCAGTGACAACACTTGAATGTACCTAAACATGTCCGCCTGCTCGTCTGTCCAACTATCTGTTTGCGTTACTTTGTAGTATTTGTGGCGAAAATGAAGATACCGTCTAAAAATTTTCAAAAGAATTTGATATTGACTTAAACTTTTCAAATGGCACGCCTACAACGCCCACGTGCCTCTACGACAAAAATTTTTATTTTGAAAATAGGCGAAATCAACTGCACCCGCTCCATATTACAGAGCATGAGAATTTTGTTCTTTTACTTCATTTGTTTTTTTTTTTTTGAGGTAAATGGTGATGGGTATAAAAGATTCGGTCCCGACCGCAGTTAATTTTCTTACTTGTTATGCATTCGAATATAATATATTTGCACCGTCAAATTATTCATGCATTCCTCCGTTAGCAATTAGAAATTGCGAACAATGCGAAGCTAATTCGCGCCACTTACACGCTTAATTATGTTTCTCTGAATAGAATTAAGAAGTGCAAGGTAGCCGCCCACAACCACATTTGTAGTAAATAAAAGAATGCAATTACTTAAAAAAAACAAGTAAGAACATGTTAATCAGTTAAAGCAGACAATTAGATACCTTACACTCCTTCACTTAGTACAGTCATTCATTCATTCGCGTGATAATGCATCGAATATTATATATTGTTTTTAAATTAAAAAATTACTTTTCATGAAAGCCCTCACATATTTGAGGACGTTTAAGAAAGTCAACTAACAGAGTCCAAATTGAGCCATCCTTATTTACTTATCAAAGGGAACTACAATTTCAACTCTGTCGCCATACAAGCCGCGGCTTGCTTTTCGTGAGAGCCCTTATATATGCTAGAGTCAAACAAGTGGACGTATGTGATACAAATCCAAAACCTACTTGTTCCAAATTTGATATAGATAAGTTTTCTATCAAGATACTCTTACGAACCAATTTTGATGATATTATATTAAAGATAGAACTTTTTTACTATTCATTGGAACCCTTACACGGAATAGCGTCCAAGAAGTAGAACCATATCAAATTATTGTTACTGGCAAACTTTGATCGAAAATTGAAGAATTTTTCCATATAAAGGCCTATTTTTCATTCAAACCCTTAAATGGAGTGGAACCAACAAAATGGACCTACGTTGTCCAAATCTTGTAAGGATACTTTCTGCGTTAAATTATGATTATAGAGCAATTTTTACTAAGAAATGTATAAGAATATGAAATTAAGTTATCCTAGGAATAACCATATGAGAGGGGGTTTCAAAAGATTACCTCATCCGATCGAAATTTTTCACATCAATTTAGAATGCTGAAATGCTACTACTACTCTTTCATATAAAATAATTTTTCAAAATAATACGTTATATGGCGAGTGATCGAAAGAGTTGCCAGGATTCGTCCTTAGGACAAAACACATCAGTGTAGCAAATTTCCTCAAAATATCTTAAAAACGCTATGTTTAACACAAGAACACATGCACCAAAGTCAGATGGACAAGCAGACAGACGCTTAGATCAATTCGGTTGGTGTGCATCTAAATCAAGTCCCTCTTCAAAAATTATTAACTATTACCAGCAATACTTGGCATACTTCATCAATTTCAGTTTGATTGAAATGTGTTTGTAAAGTTAGTAATTTTTGTGTGTGCGCTCTAAGGTGATTCCAATCGAGTCGAGAAATCAATCAGACTTACAGACTTACTCCATGATGTAAACAACTTACGCAGTTTCTTTGCACTCTCTCGTAAATAATCATGGACAGATGTGGATCGAAACTATATGAATATACGATATGTTCTCTAGACGTTAGAGAAAGTAATTTCCGAATAGTGCAACTATGCTGCATACGAAAGATAAGTCTAACTTACCGAGAGAAAATTCCATACAAACGGGTTCGGTCACTTACCCGAAAAAGTCAAATTGCTCGAGCTTGGTGGCAACAAACTAAAGGCATTACTCGAGTACGGAAATTACATAGAAATTAAAATAACTTTCACTTCTAATCATTTGCCCAAAGTAGGAAATGCATGGATTTATTTTAACAAAAAATCCAACATATTTCATATAAATGTTGCATTAATGTTTCAATATTGCTAAAATAGCTATTGTGTATGTTGTCAATACCATAGGTATTAGAAAACAAAATTGCATTTAAAAAATGTTGAAATATGAACAGATCATGTTTATTATTGCGTTTGCATTATTTCAAAATAAGCACTGAAGGAGTCATTAGAAAAAGTGCGGGAGACATCACTCAAGAAACTAGTAGGATAGCGTATAGATTCCATCACTATTGATAAGCCCATATGATTTTTAGACTAAGTTTGTATCAACTTTGAAATGAAGTATGACATAATGTCATAACACCCGACCATTAGTTCCTAAGTTACAGTTGTAAACTTCTGAATTTGATATATTGATAAAACATTGCGCTTTCAATAAGAAAGAATATCGTTCAAGCAAAAAAGATTGATTGTTTCATCAAAAGTGATGGTAGAGAAATGTTTTGTTAATTTTAAGTGCGACCGTGACGCTGAACACTCTATCTCTGATCATTTTGAAAGATCGAAAAGTGAAGTTGCACGATATAGCTGACACCATAATGATGTTAAAAAAAAAAAATATTTTCCCATGATAAAATTCAATCTCTCTCGAAATGGGTACCGAGTGCGTTGGCCTACTTCCGACCAAAAACAACAGCGTGCTGTTTGAAATAGTTTCGACGAAATAAAGGAAGATATTTTTATGCGCGCGTTATGGGACAATGAATAAAACATGAATCTTGTTGGCCGCCGGTTAAGTGGAGAGCAAGCAACGAAACCATCCGAAGTGACCAAAAGCGCAATAGTCGGTTGCGACAAGGTTATGGCGTTTGTATTTCACGATGCTCATGGTATTAATACTCGTTGACTATTTTGAAAAGTAACAAAAGATCAACATTGCATATGACATAGCGTTAGTAGTGCATTTGACTGACAAGAAAGTGGAAACAATGGTCGATCTCCTACGAATTAATTGAGTGATACGCTATGTAATTTCTAATCAACGTAAAATTTTATACTTTTTCATCAAAGTCTTAATTTCTATCGTTTTTTGTTTTTTATTCGCTATGCTCGTCAATCTCAACAACATATCTGACACATTTAAAATGTATTTTTAAATCTGTGTAAGTTTTTCACATCCTTCTTTTTTTTTTTGTTTTGTGTGTGCATTTTATTTATAAAGAACGAATGTTAATTAAATTTTTCTTGTGTCATAACTGTTAGTGGCTGTTGACTGCAAAGTATTTTAAAAGTTTCGTAATTTAAATCCAAAAAAAAAAAAAAAACTTAATTGAAATTGGCCAAACGAGTTGACTTTAAGACTCTTGAGACTTTCGCAGCAGTAAGACAAAATAAAAACTTAAAAGTAAAACTAAACTTTTGTGAATAGAAAAATCGTAATAATTTTATTTAAGCAATTCAAAGTTAATTAAATTTACAATTATATTTAAGAAAAATTGATATGAAATCTAACTCGCATTAAAAATTAATACAAAACAAGTAAGAAGATTATTTAATCGATCGTGATCGCATCTTTTATACCCATCACCGTCATCCTAAAAGAAACGAAGAAAGTAAACAAAGTAATAATTAAATTCTCATGCTCTATAATATGCAGTGGGGCGTGGCTGATATTTTCTATTTTCAAAATAAATATTTTTGTCGCTTAGGTGCGCGTGTCCTCTCGAAAAGTTTGCCTCGCTTCCAAATTGTTTTGGGAAATTTGTAGGCGCTACGCAGCCGGGCAGTTGGACGAACAAACAGACAGACATATTTAGATGCATTGAGTGCCAAGTATTTATCTACTTTATAATCAAAAATGTTTCCAAAGGTACTACGCAGCAGGGCAGTTGGACGGACGAACAGACAGACATATTTAAATGCATTGAGTGCCAAGTATTTATCTACTTTATAGGGTTTTTGAAGCTCTTTTCTGTGCTTGTTTTTTTTTTTTTTTTTTTTTTTTTTGATACACTCTAATAAAAAGGTTGCCGTGGGCGATTTTTCCCATCTTTCTACAATACACACATTCGTGTACGTACATTCATCTGCTATAGTTTGTGGGTAATAAACAAAAATCCAATTTCTTATTGCTTTTGAGAAGCAGAGGTATTTTCCATGTTACGTGCTGTTGTGGGCAGTGGCTAATGAAATTCCGAGAAGCTCTCCTCGTTGAAAAAAACAATGTGTTAGTAGTAGTTAGTTTACTGATTTGAAACGAGATGGTATAGATATCAATTACGCTAAACGCTGCGAAGCCCCAAACCGCTAAAGAAAATGCTAAAAATCAACCTTAATAGTCAAAAAGTGATATTACAAATCTGCAATATCTGCATTACTTTGCATGAAAATTTGGATATGTAAGACTGTTTCAAAACTAGTGCCGCGTTCGGTCGTGATGAAACACAGACAAAGGTTCAGATTTTAAGTACCACTTTAAGAGAATTGTAGGCTGGAGAGACGGACGCACATCTCATTGCTTAGTAAGCTAGTAAGCTAGAAGTACGAGGCAGGGAATTTCTGTGGGATGATTTCTAATGTTAGACCACGCAGGATACCACAGATAGATTAAAAGTCGGCCCAAGGCTTAAGATCTGCTCGTTCGGTAAGTTCGATTTCCGTTCGTCTGCTTGTTTTGATAAGGGCTTTTATTTGCAGTCGTCTGTGGAATGTCCGTGGGACAAAAATTGGTAACCCCAACTGTATTAAATATGCTTTTAACGAGAAAAGAGGACAAATCTTTGATGTTTGTTGTTATTTCAAAACAAATGCTTTATAACTACGAAGAAAAACAACATGTGTCTCAAGCTTTAAACCAATCATTTCGCCTGAAATGGCGAAGAAGAAATGAGGAAAGAGAAAGTAGGAAAGGATTAAGTAGGTGGTGGCTGCAGCCTAGTGGAAATATGCCTTCACCAAGTGAGCACTCACTATAGCTACGGCCAAAGTAAATTCTATCTCATTGAGTTATGGTAGCTGCGATTACTATCTACTCGGCTATTATTCGTGCGGATAATGTGAATCATGTGGACGCAATAGCCAACATACAACGGTTGATCAAGGATGGATATGCTTATGGTATCTGTAGCGCGCTAATCAATTTTAATGCCCGCATCTATTTAATATTCAACGATACCAAGTAGAAAGAAAACTTTGGAAGGAGATAAGAAGTGCGAAATGGTAAAATGAGATTTTTCCATTTCAATAAAATTCTATAAAAAATTAAATTATTTTTATTAATATCTGTACTGTTGTCTATGCATCGCGTTCGTTGCTTAAACTTAAAAATGGCTTTTTAAAGTAAGGCGAGTAAATTATTTGCAATAAAATGATTTACATAATGATGTCGCACGTTTACATTAACAATTCTGGTATCGCAATATGTTCGTAATTGAAATTGTTTTGATAATGGAAATAAAAATACTATTATCATTGATTTATATTAAATCTTATGGTTCTTTTATGGCTTTGAAAGGGGTGGCAGTTATATATCGCTTTGACTGCATACCTGGCATTTGCGTAATCAATTATTAAGTGAAATTTTCATAAAAAGTACCTTTCATTTAGCTTGAAATGAACAAACATTATATTCTACTTATATTATAGAATATGCAAATTTCATTAAAGATTAACCCATTTTAAAATCCGCAAACTGTTCAAATAACCACATTTGGTATTTAATTACGTTGGTTATCTTGTGTACGTAATTATAACTGCATTTAGTTTCGAATAATAAACTTATTTGTTTTTTTGTTTTTTTTTTTTTTGTTTCTGTTTTGTTTTTTTTGGCATATTTGCGTTTTTATACTAATGGATTCTCTCTTCCTCTCTCTCTCTCTCTCTCTCTCTCTCTCTCTCTCTCTCTTCCCCATATATATATATATATATATATATTTCAATTATCTATTTTGTTTTTGTTTTTTTGTTTTTGTTTTCCTGACAATAACATATACTCGCTAACGCAATCAATGCCATTAACACAACACACACACACATATATATATATATATATATATATATATATATTTAGCAATTTTAAGTACACTCTGTAAGGAGTTCCTGCAATTCAATGTATCCGCAATATTGTATATGATGAACAATGAGCAGTTTGGCCATAGTACAGCATCCGCACAATATTTCCTGCAATTGGCCGGTTATTTGGGTATACCGGTAATTTCATGGAACGCTGATAACTCAGGCTTGGAGCGTCGTGCTTCACAATCAACGCTTCAACTTCAGCTAGCTCCAAGTATAGAACATCAAAGTGCGGCAATGTTAAGCATATTGGAACGTTATAAATGGCATCAATTTTCGGTGGTGACGTCCCAAATAGCTGGACACGATGATTTTGTACAGGCTGTACGAGAACGAGTCGCAGAGATGCAAGATCATTTCAAGTTTACCATTTTAAATGCGATCGTTGTAACGCGTACAAGTGATTTAATGGAACTTGTTAACAGTGAAGCTAGAGTCATGCTACTCTACGCTACACAAACTGAGGCCATAACTATTCTTAGAGCTGCCGAGGATCTAAAGTTAACGGGTGAAAATTATGTATGGGTAGTCAGTCAATCGGTTATCGAAAAGAAAGATGCCCATCCGCAGTTTCCGATTGGCATGTTGGGAGTACACTTCGATACAAGCAGTGCCGCGTTGATGAGTGAAATATCGAATGCTATTAAAATATATGGTTATGGTGTCGAGGCTTACGTTTCCGATCCAGCAAATCGGGGGAAAAAGCTCAATACTCAATCGTTGTCATGCGAGGATGAAGGTCGTGGCCGCTGGGACAATGGCGAACTGTAACTATTTTATTATATCAGTTGTTTCCTCCTCACTCGTATATACATCAATTTATTTTTTTTTTTTATATAGATTTTTTAGATATTTGCGCAATGTTTCTATAGAGGGTGATTTAAATAAACCCAATATTGAGTTTACGGCCGATGGTGATTTAAAGTCGGCTGAACTGAAAATTATGAATTTACGTCCAAGTGCTAACAATAAGAATTTAGTTTGGGAAGAGGTAAGTATATGCCTACGATCCGCGCCTAACCATATTATCATTTAATATTTTCGATTTTTTATATATATATTTTTTTTTGTTTTACTTTTATTGATTAGATCGGCGTATGGAAATCGTGGGAGACACAAAAACTGGATATACGCGATATTGCCTGGCCAGGTAATTCGCATGCTCCGCCACAAGGTGTACCCGAAAAATTCCATTTAAAAATCACATTTCTCGAAGAGGCACCCTATATCAATCTATCGCCCGCCGACCCAGTTAGTGGCAAATGTCTCATGGATCGCGGTGTCCTGTGTCGAGTGGCAGCCGATCATGAGATGGCTGACATTGATGTGGGACAGGCACATCGCAACGGATCTTTCTATCAATGTTGCAGTGGTTTTTGCATCGATCTTCTCGAGAAGTTTGCCGAAGAGCTGGGTTTCACCTATGAACTGGTACGGGTCGAAGATGGTAAATGGGGTACACTTGAGAATGGTAAATGGAATGGTTTGATTGCTGACTTAGTTAATCGTAAAACCGACATGGTACTTACGTCGCTGATGATCAATACAGAACGCGAGGCTGTGGTAGACTTTAGTGAGCCATTCATGGAGACTGGCATAGCTATTGTTGTAGCGAAACGGACTGGTATAATTTCGCCGACTGCCTTTTTGGAACCATTTGATACCGCCTCGTGGATGCTAGTAGGCATAGTGGCTATACAGGCGGCCACGTTCATGATATTCCTATTTGAATGGCTATCACCTAGTGGTTACGATATGAAACTCTATTTACAAAACACTAATGTAACACCATACCGCTTTTCCTTATTTCGTACGTATTGGTTAGTTTGGGCGGTACTCTTTCAAGCTGCCGTACACGTAGACTCACCGCGTGGTTTCACCTCACGATTCATGACGAACGTTTGGGCTCTCTTTGCTGTGGTGTTTCTCGCCATATACACTGCCAACTTGGCGGCCTTCATGATCACCAGGTATGTTAATTTTAAATTTACCTTAATCTCTTGTCTCTCTCTCTCTCTCTCTCTCTCTCTCTCTCTCTCTCTCTGTCTCTCTACCTCTTTCTTTCTTTCTATCTCTCCCTATCGCTTTCTCTCTCTCTCTCTTTCTTTTATATATATATATCCTATATATATACATACATACATATATATATATATATATATATATATATATATATATAAATTTCTCTTGTTCTTTTGCTGTCTTACACATTGGCTTGGGCTATTGCAGAGAAGAATTTCATGAGTTCACTGGTTTGAACGATAGCCGTTTGGTGCATCCGTACTCCCATAAACCTTCTTTTAAATTTGGCACCATTCCCTACAGTCACACAGACTCTACTATCAACAAATACTTTAAGGAAATGCATTACTACATGAAACAGTATGTCAACACAAATCGAATTTCCTAATCCTATTTACCGACAAATAATCATGCAATATGTATAATTGTATTTTTGTTTGGTCATCTTCGTAGACATAATAAATCTAGTGTAGCCGATGGGGTAGCAGATGTATTAAGCGGCAGCTTGGATGCTTTTATATACGATGGCACTGTACTGGATTATCTTGTGGCACAAGATGAGGATTGTCGTTTAATGACAGTCGGCAGTTGGTATGCCATGACAGGTAATGATGACCTAACAGGAAAACGAAACCAAAACCGAACAGAAATGAAATGAAATAAGAAAATTCGTTTCATGTAAAAGCACTGTAGTTGTAGCAACCTTGATAAAGTATTTGCAAGCGTACAAAATTACATTTCCGATACTATTTCTCTTTTTCTTATTTTCCTTTTGCCATAATACGAAATAAATGAAAAAAAAAAAAAACAAAAAACAAAATAAAAATACAAAATGAAAAATGAAAAAAAGGTTATGGTTTAGCTTTTAGCCGCAATTCAAAATACGTCCAAATGTTTAATAAACGCTTACTCGAGTTCCGAGCAAATGGCGACCTGGAACGTTTGCGTCGTTACTGGATGACGGGTACATGCCGTCCCGGTAAACAAGAACACAAATCCTCTGATCCATTGGCTTTAGAACAATTTTTATCAGCATTTTTACTCCTCATGGCTGGCATTTTATTAGCAGCTTTACTACTTTTGCTCGAACATGTCTATTTTAAGTACATACGCAAACGTATCGCCAAAAAAGACGGCGGCCACTGTTGTGCTCTAATCTCCCTCTCAATGGGTAAATCGTTAACG